GCTGCAAAATTAAATATCTAATTACCTGCCACTACAGACTAATCTCAGTGCCTACGCGATGAATTTACTTACCTGGTGTCAACATGGCTTCGTTTAATGGTAGTCGGGAAAACGGGTCCGTTGGAGTGTTTAGTAAATGACGCAAAATAATTTCGCGATCCATCACATGACCTGATGGCAGAAAAACGGGATCCTTCATTAACGTTCCCATCACGGGGTCTGAATATGAAACAGTTTCACCGTGTTAACGAAACGATAAATGGCAAATTTTACACGTACCACAGAAATTTTCAGGAATCTCTCCCCAGCTTTCTTCTACCTTCTGTTTCTGGTTCCACATCAAATGCGCTTTCTCAGCAAGTAGACGAAACTGTTCCACCTGAGAAATGGGCTTTACGCAGTGCTTCAAAATACGGTCGATTACGTCCTCGAACAACTGATTACTGTAGGATCTCTAAAGTTAAAATCATAACTAAAAGTTTTCACAAACTACGTGAAGCTAGAACAAAACCGCGTTACCTCATCGGAGGCGATCGCGTTGGCAAATTTAACCGAATCTAGGTGCAGGTATATGTCTGTTAGTTGATCCAGCAGCAGTCTTGGTCTCCAGTTATATAGCCCGGGGTTTCTGACGCGCAGATGCTTGAACTCTGACCCGCATAGCTGAGCCATGTTGTAATTTAACATCGCGGCCAACCGATTGCCGAGTTGCTAATGAAAGACAAGAAAGAGTATATTAGTACCCCACGTATTAGTAACAATTATTAGTAGTAACAATTATTAGTAGTATTAGTAACAATTTTAGTCTTACCGGACAAAGGAATGGCTCTTTTATGACATCGGTCATGTAACTGAACATGTCTACGGTAACCGACGCCAGCTGAAATGAGGCACGCACCACCCGTTCGTCCTGCTGTAGATGTGACCTTAAGTCACGTTGTTCTTCCTGAAATTGATGGATAAGTTTGGTAATACAGAATTATTAACGGGGGCTTAAGATGACAGTGAATTTCAAAAAGAACGAACATGCAGTTCTCTCCTGACCCTTAGCGTGAAGGAACAATATCCCATTAAATTTCATGAAAGGCAATCTCTGTGGTTCCGTGAAATCCAGCAGAGACCTATGCTGGTCTTGTAACAGGCTGAATGCTTCGTTATAGTCCCGTGAAACGGTACAGATCTACGTTATGATAAGCGTCTTGTGCTAGACGAAAGATGAAGTTCCATATATCCGGTAAGATATCTGTTGACCTGATTAACAGTACGGACGGAGGCGTCACAGCCCAATGGCTTCCGGCTGTGAATGGCGGCATGTATCTTATCCTCCAGTAATCAAAAGTCATGTATGATAAACAAAATTAATACAGTAGATTCGCAAACAGGGCAGAAATATATCAGAGGAATTTACAGCATGTCTAGCAAGAAATCAGCAAATTAAAATTATAAAGAACGATTGCTCTGGCTCTGCTGTGCTCTTGGTGCTAGGGAAGAAATTACTCTTCTCAAAAAATCAGTCTGTACATTGTCCCTGTCAACTGAGTGTTGTTGTACGGCATGGAGGCAGTTTCTCTAACGAAGAACCATGAACGATGATTGAACTGCGCAAAGCAGAATTACCTTAAACGCGTAATGAGGATTAAATGGCAGGAACACTTAAGGGATGGCACTATTTTCCTCCGGGCAAAGCTGGTCTTGGTATAGACGGAGATTACGAAAAGAAGGCTGATCGTATGAGACTTTTTAAGACAAACCATTTACTCTAACCTGTGAGTTTCTCGTGTGGGAGCAGAAATAACAGACGTCGACCAAGAGGCCAGCATACAACGATGAGGAACAAGGTAGAGGAAGATCTGCTTTTGGAAAGAAATATTTCCTTTCGAGCTGCGATGCAGAAAACGGTGCCTTATAGAAAATGTATTGAAAAGCTGCGGATATAGTGGATGTCAAAAACCAGAGACGTTCTGCTTATGTAAACGATTCAACGTGCTGGTCTCCAGAAATACATCCGTTAATGAACAATATACAACGTGGAAGTTCCTCAGCGACGCAGACATGTCTCCACGAAGAAGATACGGTATCGCTGCCTATCATAGATCCGAGATACCATTTCAAAGCGTCGCACATCGCAGATCTAAGTACGTCACCGTTTAAACCCTTTCAGGTCTTAGAAAATTTTAATCTGTGGCTCACTTAGTCTGCTACCAGGTGGATCGAAAGGGCGTAAACACGCTGCAGTTATGCTGAGAGCAAACTGAGTGACTAAACCACAAGAATCGACAGCCTCCCCAAACGCATAATCTCGTCTTCCTCTTCCTCGTCATCCTCATTTTACCAAAGCACCATGCTGTCCGTACTGTTGCAAAGTCATTTTGCTACCCGCTTCTGGCTGGCTGCACAAAAGCACAATGGGATGAAATCCTGCCCTGAGGACATCTGCAGCTACTAAGAAAATTTTGCCGCGCTGGCACTTAAAATCTGTGCTTTTAAACTGCAAAGCGAAACCACAGTTCAGCTCGCCGCTAGTCACGATAACAACGATAACAGCAGCATAACTGAGTGTACCGTGGTAAGTTTTCGCCACCTTGCCGGATTGTTGATGATCTCCTCGGTTTCGCGAATGCGCTTTAAACCTTCGAGGCTTTCGTCCAACAGAAATGTCGCGTCGTTGATCAGCATGTTGACGAAGCGCAAAAAGTTGGAATCGCAGTTGCTGAAAACCGTTCAATACACAGCATCAGCTAACTTTAGTTTACTGTAATCACTGTAATATAAATACTTCGAATATTCGATCATCATGTTACGATGCACCGATGACTGCCACATCATCTTGAAAATGATTTGAATGTGGTAGCGAATCGAAAACTTGTCAAAAAATTCCGTGTGCGTTTCCACGTCTGAAACGTGCACATAAGTAAAAGCAAGCGTAGACCGTAAAAAACAGATTCCTCACAAAGACGCACAAAGTACCGGTAGGGAAAGTGCGGCTTTATTTCAAGCAAGAAAAAATGGCTTATTTTACAATTCTAAAAATGGACTTATATGTTAACTTTACGTTTCCTCGTCGCGAATGATAGATCGTCCTTTGAGTCCTTTTCAAAGCCATAAGTTACGTAGAAAACAGCTAAAAAAGTATGGCCACTTCAGTGGCTCATTATGACATTCGAAGATACCGCTGTAACATTCTTTATATGAGAAACAGGCATAACGGAAAAGTACTCTTCTGAAAAGAAACAAATTTAATGGATCGTAAATATCTTGTTTTAACTAAACGAAATACTCACTCAACTTTTTAACTTAATTCATTATTAAAGTTAATCAGTCTAACTCTATAAACAATATTTTTGTGCATGACAACATATTCTTCTATGCTAACTTAAATTGAACAGTGTTCTCAATGAAAGACGGAGTCTCGGCAACATCAGGTTGACGAAATGGCAGCTATCTTATCAGAAGAAGTGCGACATGCAATAACTGTCAAACAGTCAAATCGTGGAAAAGCTCCCGGAGAATTTGATAATACGGCGCAAAACTCGTGGAATCACGAGATGAAGCACTGGCAAGGTCATTTTTTAAGGAACAGAAAATTCGACACGATTGGACTCTAGCATCAGTGATTCTAATCCACAAAAAGGAAGATAGAGGATTTGAAAAATTACAAATCAACAAGTTTTTTGCCAGTCGTCTACAAAGGTACTTAACGAAAGAACTGATGAACTTATTTCAACAAACTGGACGCTGCAGTCAAAGAAGCAAGCCGAATTGAAAAGTAAATTTAGCATAATCAGCCATTTACAAGTGGTACAACAAGTAATTCAGAAAAGGAAGAAATATCAGCTTACTCTTTGCCAGAGTCGATTTCGATAACTTTCGACGTTTCTTTCTGTACTGGACGGTTTGAGGAGCCATGGAATCTAGGAAAGATATAAACCCCTTTGCCGTGATTTAGAAGAATGCAACTACCAGTGTGAAGCTTCATGAAAGCACAAGCAAGTTCAAAATCATAATGGCCGTCTGACAGGGAAACTCAGTATCACCAAAAATTATTCACAGCAGCCCTAGAAGTAGTTTTCAAAATATTCTGTTGAGAAAATTATGGGTTGAACGTAAACGGGCACTACTTCCGCGGCCTGCGGTTTACAGGTAATATTCTTGCCCTTTCAAGGTCGTAAGGAAAATTTCAAAAATCAATCCAAGAGTTAAGCGATTCCAGTATAGCAAAACTGAAAATAAACCTGAAGAAGTCAGGTCAGTCATGATTAAAAATACGTCATACTAATTATATATATATATATATTATTTCATCCCTGCAACGCAGAATCGAATGTGTGGAATCAATAGAAGAGCAAAATGGCTCGAAGCATTTTTGGAACGTTGAGAAGTTCTCATCCGAAAAACTACCCTCGTTCTTAAAATG